GTCGTTTCGAGACTAATGGCTTATTCAGCATTGGACCGGGCTCTCCCTTCCGATGCAGCAGAGCCGCAGCTCCCTTCGGTCGCAGCAGGAGCCCTCCATCTGTTGTTTCGAGATTCAAGGCTTATTCAGCATCGGACAGGGCTCCCCCTTCCGGTGCAGCAGAGCCGCGGCTCCCTTCGGTCGCAGTGAGAGCCCTCCATCCATCGTTTCGAGCCCCATTTGCTTTTTTCGCATCAGACAGGGCTCTCCCTTCCGGTGCAGCAGAGCCGCAGCTCCCTTCGGTCCTAGTGAGAGCCCTCCATCTGACGCTTTAAACCACGCCACGTATTCAGCTGCAAGAGGGACTCTCCCTTCCGGTGCAGCAGAGCCGCAGCTCCCTTCGGATGCAGCGAGAGTCCCTCACCTGGCCTTCCATCGTGCTCCTCATTCGGCGACAGGTAGGGCTTGCCATCTGACGCGGAGAGTCGCAGCTCACGTTCAAGCACCGCACGACCCCTCCCAGTCGCCCTGCCGCCTCCTCGCACACCCTACTTTTCTTCATGGCACGCATATTTTTGGGGGCGACTTAGTTTTCTCTCTGGCTGCTGTCTCATTCCATTAGCTTCTTTTGGGGAGTTCTCTGGGTTCGGGCTGGGTTCCCTCCCTCTGGACAGCACGCCAAATATGCTACTAATTGCTTAATCACATTATATGTTAGTGTGAACTCATGAATTTTGTTTTCTTGGCGCACAAAGTAGCTTCATAAAATTATGTTTGAACCACTGATGTCACATCAGACTATTTTAACGATGTCCTTACTATACCTTTCTGGGCCTTTAACATGGTAGATCCCTTGCTGTCTATGCAGTGTCAGAAAACTCTTGGATTTCATCAAAAATATCTTAATTTGTGTTCCGAAGGTTTTACGGGTTTGGAACGACATTAGGGTAAGCAATTAATTTTCATTTTGGGTGAACTATCCCTTTAAGTTCTTTTAACTAAATCATCTAACATGTATGAAATGATATGTCTAAGTTCATTATGCTGTTAAATATATCAACAGTAAGTCATGGGGCAACGCATATCCTGAGAATGATCCCTTTTTTTCTTTTTCATTTGTGATAAGGTTTAATATTGTTCTTTCCTTTATTTTGTCTTTAGTATCTGCTGTAAATGTCCCGTCCTCTCTGTTTCTCTCAGGCTGGTATAACAGGCTGTACATAAACTTCATCCTCAGGAGACACATATTCTTCTTCATGCTGCAGACATACTTTCCCACAATGCTAATGGTCATGCTCTCCTGGGTGTCCGTCTGGATCGACAGGAGAGCCGTACCGGCCCGTGTCTCTCTAGGTAAACCTCCCAAAGAAACATCCTAATTTTAGAATCTATAAATACATTTAGAAATGATATTCTATTTATTTGTTCTATTTAACATGTCAGATCTTAACGTTAGACCTGTGACAGGACGTTTCTGTAATAGCGCCTCAGGTGGGTTGGTAACCGTGAGCTGTGTGTATTTACTTTGTTCTCTCTGGTTATTACGCTCAGGAACAAGTACAAACCGGTTTAGAGAGAACAGAATTACATGACCTCAAAAATACCTTGATAGTCAGGCCAGCAGGCGTTAGACACCCAGCAAGGAAGTTGTTCTTTTCACACACGTCGATGACATCAGAGCACAAGCTCAGAGAGAGTCACAATAGAATAGAAGAAGTAGTCCACATAATGTGTGTCTTCCTGAATGTTTTCTTAAGGAGTCGGACTAATGAGAAGTGTTGCAACCTGCACTGTGTGTGTGCAAATTTGGAATAAACGGTGACTAATTTAAAGAACTTTACTACTGAATGTCATGCGTTTCTCACACTTTCATTTGCTTTCTCACCCAATTTGACCGTCCATAATCTGCTGGGGACTCTTGTGTGAGATGCAATAGATGGAAACATTATTTGCTTGAACTTTTGAACTGCCTCTTCTTAACATGTCATGTCTGTTTCCCATGAAACCGCTTCTTATTTGTTACTCTGCCCTCTCTTTCTGTTTCTTTTGATCTCCTACAGGAATCACAACCGTGTTGACCATGTCTACCATAATAACAGGCGTCTCAGCATCAATGCCTCAGGTGTCTTATGTGAAGGCGGTGGACATTTACCTTTGGGCCAGTTTCCTCTTTGTTTTCCTGTCGGTCATTGAATATGCTGCTGTGAACTACTTCACTACAGTGGAAGAGATGAAAAAACTTCAGAAAGGAAAGGTCAGGGTCACGGACTGATCAGAGATTGTATATGGTGCTTTTGCTCTGGTAATATGACCAAGATTGAATATTCACTTTAAAGCTAAACATCGCCCCCTATGGTAATTTTAAGGCAACACAAATTCAAACAAAAGTTTATCATAGTAACCATAGTTTCTGTCAAAATACAACATTAATAATAAAAATAATAGTAATATAGCTACATACATTTTAATTATAATTTTATTAACAAAATTAAAATAACTTAATTTTAATGTTATTTTTATATTTAAAAAAAAACAGAGATTTTGAGAGCAATAAAAGTATTAATTCATAAATAATATATTATACATACATATTTAGATAATTTTATTATTAAATTTAAAGGCAACGTAAATTCATTGGCCTAACAGAAATGTACCTTGTTAACCATAGTTTCTGCCAAAATACTATAACAACAACAATAATATTAATGAATTCATAAATAAGTTATTTTTATTTATAAAAAATTAAAACAGCTGAGATTTTGAAAGCCATAAAATTATTAATTCATAAATAACATTATAACATTTATTACAAAAATTATTATTATTATTATTATTATTTCATAAATAGGTCAAATAAATTAAAACAACGTAATTAAATTGGCCTAACAAAACTTTACCTTGGTAACCATGGTTTCTGTCAAAATAATAACAATATTAAAATAAAACAATAACCAAATTCGAACAATTTAATTTTAATTTTGTTTTAAAAATGTAAAGCAAATTAAAAATGTAAAACAAATTCTTGCAATGGTTGAAGGAAACCCCAAATTAATTTATTTTGGCTTTACAGTGTTAACATCTCAAATCAAATGGGTTGTAAATGGCATTTTACTTTGACTTCAATGTATAATTTTAATATAAATTAATATACATTTTTTTATCACTGTTGTTTGTGGTCCATAACAGATATTTACTTTCTCGCATTTCTCTTCCTACCAAAGCTTCCAGTTTCCTACGACGCAACCCAGGCTATGGCCTACGACGGCTGTTTTCACAATGACATAGATGTATCGCCTTTCCCCGAGCTCCCCACAACACCCAGCACGACGCGGACCATCCCACCCAGAGCCTCCTCCACCGAGCCTCCACCCACCGAAGGCACGAGACTCTGGAGGAAGCGCTCAGTCGGCAAAAACATCAGATTCATAATGAGCAACAGCTACATGATTGACTCGTACTCCAGAATCATCTTTCCAGTGGCATATCTTCTCTTCAACATCATGTACTGGTGTATCTACTCTTGATCGTGTAGCTTGTGTTTTTCTGACCAGTCGCCGTAATAAGTCCAGGATAAGCCAGTCTTATTGCACAAGACAGTTGAACTTTGGGCCTGTGATGGCTGTCAAAATGAACGCTCTGACAGTAAGCACAAGTGACCTGACAAAGTGGACAGTTTGGATCAAGTGTAACTGGAGAAAGATCCAGATGGATGTTAGATATGGAGATCTCTGTAAACGTTTGGCATTTCTTATAGCATGTGAAGGAATGTCTTTTTGTCATAAACTCTCAAAGGCAAGGAGCATATTCACGTCATTCAAGGATATACTGTATAAACAGCTGCTTACCTCACTCTTGTGACTGTTGTTATGGGATCCATCCATCACCTCAGCTTTATCTCCTAGAATTCATTAGATCTGAGAGCGGAAACTTGAAACCAAGCCAACCTGCTTCATATGCTCAAGAATTATATGAACACGTAAACTTGTGAATATATTAAATAAAATAACCCTCATGCTAGTCTCACATAGTAGGACTTTTGACTCATTAAATTTTGGGCCATGTTTTTCTGTTAGAACCGCCTAATTGAACAGGAAGTAGCTGTCTGAGTGACATGTAAAGGGACCAATCACAGTTCAGAGTTTCACCCATGATATTTACACTACCGTTCAAAAGTCTCTTATGTTCACCAAGGCTGCATTTATTTGATCAAAATACAATAAAACTGTAATAATGTGAAATATTGTTTTCTATTTTAATATATTTTAAATTAATGAAACATTTAATGCACAATAAACATTTCTTATTAGTAATGATGAAAACCGGCTGTGCTGCTTAATATTTTTGTGGAAACTGTGGGTAGATATGAAATCTGTGAAAGCATAACACAAGACAAACTATGCAACATTACAGTTAAGAAAAAGTGTGAATAGACATTTTTATGTGTCCAGATAAAATGGAATTTACTTGTAGACATTTGATGCCATGAACCTCAAAAAACGTTTGAGCCTTTGCTTCTTGTAAACATAACTTTTATTTCCTGGTTGACTTTTAAATACCTGTGCAATCTGATTCATGGAAATTGTGTAGCAGCCAACCAATCAGACTGGAGAGTGTGCTTTTGTACAGCAACATTTGGACCTTCAGAACTTGCTTAATAATTCATAAATGTACAGTATGTTGCAGATTGAATGCACAAGTGTTTGTGAAAAGAAACTTTGTGAAAACTATCAACCAGGCACTCTACAACTTGTATTTCTTTTGTTATACTCTTATGTTGTACATTTTATTATTTTGAAAAGCTATGAAAATACAAAAATAAAATACATGTGACAACATGCATGATTTTGAATGTTCCAGACTCGTACAGATAAAATAATCAAGTCATTGAACCATAGCAGTGTAAGCACATCATTTCATTTCATACACAATTATCCAATTTATTCCAATTGCACAATTATCCAACTACTCAGAAAAATTATGCAACCTAAACCATCAGATAATTTTGTTGTTGTTGGTTTAAAAGGTTTTGCATTGCTGTAGTAGTTTCATTATTTAATTGCATTAATTACAGTGCTTCATTTTAAGTAATATTTCTGTTGAATATACAACACGCAATACTTTATGTAAATTTAAAATACCAGTGAAATACAGTGACTCATTAGAACATAGTACACGCATACATGCATACACACTCATTCCGGCTGTGATCAGTTTATTCATTATGACCTTTGACCTCGGTACTGGTCGTTGATCTCGTTCAATACCACGTCAGAACCTGAGCTGGGCTCTTCTGCTGCAGTTATTATCCTGTCGTCCATCGGGTTGCCTGCAATCACAGACAAACAGCTCAAATTATGCACTTCTTTCACAACAGAATTAATCTGGCCAATGTAGAAATATTGATTATTCAAATAGCTTCATTTTTAGATTTAATATTGAATTATAAATGTTTAAAAGTATACAAATGTTTTAATTTACATTAATTAGTTAAAGGAATAGTTCACCCAAAAATGAAAATTTGCTTGTCATGTGAATTACTTGTGAATTATTGTGATGTTTTTATCAGCTGTTTGGATTCTCATTCTGACGGCACCCATTCACTGTAAAGGATCCATTGGTGAGTAAATGATAGACGGCCAGCAATTTTTCATTTGTGTGTGAACTATTCCTTTAATAATAAATTCAGTTCTGTCTCATTTAAATCAAGTTGAATGTCTGTGACTAAAACAAAGAATAAAAGAGGAAGTGGAAGAGGGTTGTGCTACCATTTAAAGATCAGTTATCATCACCTGCTGTTTCAACTAGGAATTTCAGGTAATAAACACGCAGAAAGATGATTAACACAGCCTGTCTAGCAGGTAATACTCACTGATGTCTATGGGCATATCAGATGCCAAGCTGTCATGGTTCAGGAAAGATGAGCTAGAATTGTTAGAATTCGACGAGCGGAATGAAAACATTCTTTTCTTGGAGGCTTTCTTTATCTTTTGAGTTGCTGTGCGACTCCATTCTGTTGTGTAAAAGATAAAAGGGTGGTAATTAGATAAACACGCCGCATAAAAGCAAGTCAGACATTTGCATGAACTTCCAAAGGCCTCTTACCTGAGTTTTCTGCCAGTCTCAGGCTGCCACAACACAGGTATGTCCTCCATTGTCGTCTGACGTTTTCTTTCATGGCACAATGGAACACAAAGATGAAGAATCCTGCGAGGGGACAGGTACATTCTTGTCAACATTCCATCAGAACACTAAAAATAAACCCTGACATGTGTCACCCGATAATGTTATGGATTCCACTAAGGAACTCTGACACAGTGGGTTGCGTAATGTGAAACTAATTAAAGTAGCAGCTGAACACAACAATCCTGCAAAATGGACAGTGTTGAAAATTATTACTGTTCACATGTCTGGATTGAGATTACTAAAGGATCAAGTGACACTGAAGACTAGAGTAATGATGCTGAAAATTCAGCTTTACCATTACAGGAATAAATTATATTTTAAAATATATTATAAAATGGATAGTTCCGATCCTTGATTCTGATTGGCTGAGCCACGTTCGAAGCTGTTGTAAATTACTCTACAAACATACACCTTTGTTTACGTTTGTCTGTTGCTTGGCAACCACTTTGTTGCAACCACAACTGATTCTGAGGAACTATTGTTTGGTGGAAGAATACTGTTTTTATTCATATCATTACACTTTATTTGCTCTGTTTTATTTTGTGAAACCTTACTTCGTATATGGAATAACCGTTTTATAAAAGCAAGAAGCCCCGTGAAGCTGTGGTTTACAGTGAATTTATAACAGCTAAGGGGGTTTTGATCTCCGCTTCGCGTCATGCCTAACGCCCCTTAGTTGTTATAAATTCACTGTAAACCACGGCTTCTTGGGGCTTATTGCTTTATTTTATTTTAAATTGTTATAATAAGAGAATGCAAAACATTTTAAAAAATCTTACTGATCCCAAACCTTTGAACGGTAGTAAAAATATATAACTTGCTTACCGAGGACCCACAAATATGTTAATACCCTTGCAAGGGATCCCCTTCCAATATAAAGTCAGCCATATTTTATATATAAAGACACTTTTATACTTTGTGAGAAATCATGTGATATTATGTGGAAATAAATAACTTGCCTTTATATTTTTACTATACCAAAGTCAAGCTAATTAAAAATTTATCAAATGAATGTTCAATTAATTAAATTAATTCATTAAAATGAATTAAATAAATTAATAATTAATTACATTAACTTAAAATATTATCTAGAAAATATTGAATTTGTAATAAGTGTTTTTTTCTAATAAGTTATTTTTTTATGTCCACTTGTAATGTTAGATGTATAAACCTACAGACAAAAATTTCAGGCAATTAAGATATATTTGTATTGGTGTTTCACAATAAATATAGCTATCTATGACATTCCTAAATAATATCATTTGTAAAATCGTTTTTTTCAAGGAAACCTCTTCAAACACACCAGTTTGAAAGCCCCTAGCTAAACAGTTGTTTCAGAAGTGGAGAAAGTTATTATATTTTGATATAAGACTTTTAAAATACACTTTTTACTTTTTTTTATAATAACTCGCAATGATAAATAGTGCACAGTAATACCAGAGACATTTTTAAGAAAGTAAAAAGGGTCCATTTAGCCTTTCAAGAATGGTAGGGCACCTGTGCAAATTGGGACCCACCTTGTAAAGCGTTAAAAATAGCAAACAGGTACATGAAGGCCAGGTTAACAGGACCCCAGGCGAAGAAAGCGAAACCCCAGGTGAGGCCCAGAAGCACGGTGAGTCCAGCTACACTGCGCATCTCCTGCCAGCCGCTGCGATTCTGCACGTTGTGAGGGTTCTGCTGCTTGATGCGACACAGCTGGACCATCACCACGATAAACATGGTGAAGTTCAGCAGGAAGACAAGACAGAAGTACGCCACCACAGCAACATAGAAGACAATGTCGTTTTTTATCCAGCAACTGTAGGGAGAAAACAAAATGTACAAAAAGAGCATTAAAGAAAGCTTTAATGTTTCCGCATTCATATTCAGAGTTTAATCTGACTTTAAAATGTTACAAATAATGTTTATATTTTATATCATTTATATGGAGTATCATTTTTAAAATATATGTAACCCTGGACCACAAAACCAATCTTAAGTGTCAATTTTTCAAAATTTAAATAAGCTTTCCATTGATGTATGGTTTGTTATGATAGGACAAAATCTGGAATCTGAGGGTGCAAAAAAATCAAAATACTGAGAAAATCGCCTTTAACGTTGTCCAAATGAAGTTCTTAGCAATGAATATTACTAATCAAAAATCAATCAAAACTAATCAAAAATTAAGTTTTGATATATTTACAGTAGGGAATTTACAGAATATCTTCATGGAACATGATCTTTACTTAATATCCTAATGATTTTTGGCATAAAAGAAAAATCTATCATTTTGACCCATACAATGTATTTTTGGCTATTGCTACAAATATACCCCAGCGACTTAAGACTGGTTTTGTGGTCCAGGGTCACATATTTTATATAAATGTAGTGCTGAGAAAAATTGGGATTGGGATTACTCACAAATCATCAGTCGCTCCGTTTCCATATCTCCCGTATGTCACAAGGCCATAGTTGTCTTTGTTAACGGCTATGACAATTATGACTACGACGAGAGGAATGCCTTTAAAGAAACAAAATATTTTGAGCTCATCTGCTCTCAGACAGACTTAACTATTTCAACAAAGCAGACTTCAAAGACAAAACATGACCTTGTGCAGGTAAAATGTAAGTAACAAATCAGTCACGTACCCCATCCAGCAAGTCCTATCTTGACCATAAAGCGGGAGATGTAGGTGTTGAACACCTTGACGAGGGCCAGATACATGTGGACGGCCTCCAGTGCCATCCAGGTAAAGGACGCCAGGAGGAAATAATGCAGGAAAAAAGCAGTGGAGATGCAAAGACCCACAGCATCTGGGTACAGAGCCAGCCAGGCGTCCAATAGGAACACCAGGTTTAGCAGCAGCAAGGCCAAACACAGCTGAATAAGGATCTTAGACGGGATGTCTTTGCGCAATTTACTGTAGAGAGATTTAAAAAACAATATATATATATTATCATTTATACATAAACTACCATTCAAAAGTTGGTACTGCAACTTAAATTGCAATTGAATGCATTAAAATAGATCAAAAGTGACAATAAAGACTTTCACAGTGAAGACTTCACCATAAAATCAGCATATTAGAATTATAATATTTCTAAAAATATTATAATATTAGAATTTCTGAAAAACGGCTGAAACAGCTGATTCTAATAATATTTCACAATATTGCGGCTTTTACGGTAGTTTTGATCAAATAAAAGCTTTCAAAAACATAATATATTAATAATAATAATAATACAACATAAAACATAATAATATTTATATGTGTGTGATAAAAAGTGTGAAATTATGCTAAATTAACTTGATTTCCAATTGTGATAGTATTTCACAATATTACAGTTTTAACTATATTTTATGATCAAATAAATGCAGCCTTGGTAATCCAAAATATTAAAAAATCTTTCCGACCCCAAATTATTAGTGTACATTGCAGTTTTGAATTTTAATCTAGAGCTTATGTAAAGCATCAAATCCAAGTCAATAATATTTTAATAGTACATAATAATAAAGTCAATACATTCAAATAAAAGAGAAGTTAAATGGTGAATCTCACAGGGATCCTTACCCAAAGGCCAGATAAGTGAGCAGAGTGACAGACAGGAAAACAGCCGAGATTCCACAGCCGATGTATGTAATGTATGTCAGGATGTTGAGATGCTCTACAGGGATTTCAGTCTTAGAAATGTCCTGTAAGGCAAGATTTAACCAAACAATTTTATTATCCCAAAGAATCGAAATATCATATTGTCAGGTGATGTAAATTCTTTCTGCTGTAACTCACTAGCAGAATACCGAAGCTGGTAAGGTGATTGCAGGCACATTGAGTTTCTTCAGCAGAAGAATTAAGCACATGGCACCCAGAAGAATTCCAGCCGCCTGAGCCACCTGTTAACCAATAATCAATGGTTAAAATGCACATTTCAACCATAAAAAAAACAAAAACAGTCTATTCGGTAAAGAAGGAAACATTAAAAGACAACTTATACCATTTAATCCAAAGTCCCAGAATACACAGGAAGCTACATATTTAGCCTGTGGAGGAATAAAAAGAGAGTAAGACAAGAAAGCAGCACTGAATTAAAGTACAAATCTGTTATTGTGTTTGTTTGTTGTGATATTAATGCTATTCATATTGACCGGAATGGGTCCTGTGTTTCGCAGGGTTATCAGCACTTCCTTCTGTAGACCAGAGATGCTCAGGTTAGCCACACTGCTACCCACAATCCCGCTGTTTAGTTTACGTCCATTTAGGTTTTTGTCCTAAACAGAAATATAAAAAAAAGAGTTCAGAGATACTTGTGGCTCTGATCAAATTCACATTAATTAAACTAAAGCTTTTAACACAATTACTACAGCAATACAAGCATATACTGTTTTGAGATGTGCTAGCCAGATAATATCTAGACTAAGTCATATATCCTATCAGCTCACATTACACCATTCAGCTATTTCAAATATGTAGCAGTCATCTTAATACAAATCGAACTAATTTGAATCAAAAGCAGTGCTCTGTATCAGACCTGGAAGAAGGTGCTATTCTGGAAGAAGTTGAACTGGACTCTGGAGGCAAGCCGCTGCTGTTCTGCCGTGAGGTTCTGTGTGAGGGATGCTGGGAGGATGACTGAACCCAGAGGAGTGGACCGCACCTGAACCATGA